TGCGCATACATTTTGACTCTTCTCAATACATTTCATCTCATTTTCTTGATACATTTCGCCTCTATAAAAATATTTATTTATTTTATAGGTCTTGGACAATGGACATGAAATTTTAAAACCTTGGTAAGTTTGCTCTCTTATCGAGTTAAAACACTAGGTGGTCCCTAAATTTTACACTTGCTCACAAATGGCCCCTCAAGTTTAAATTTTAAGGGGAAGAAACTTAATTACCTTTGGGTGCTGCCAAATATTGTCATAATAATCCAACTTTGTAACTTTAATTTCGGGTGATCTTGATGAAAGATGAACCTCTTTGGCCGCCATTGCGATTTCTTCGGATATATCATGTGCACTAGGTCCATCTCCGATCACAACCACAACCTACACACACGTACAGGGCGAACCATTTTTCCTGCATTCATTGATCTTAACATCTATAGTCGAGAAAATTGCTAGATCGGGAGCTTACCTGATCCTGAAACGGTTCAGGAACACGATAGTTGTGGCTATGAATTTGTTTCCCAGGCCATTTTTCGATGCCTTTTAGATTTTAAATTAATATAATTAGCGATTGGATGGGAGTTCGGAAATTGTCCCAATTGTTTAGCAGTCGAAAACTTGCGGGACATGTTGAAGGTGTGTACCTGGAATATCGGCGATTCTTGGTTGAGTGTGATGGCCATTACACACTATGACAGCATCAAATGCCTCTTCCAGGCTTAACTCAGACTCAACTATCCACTGACTATTGACTCGATGAACTCGGACAACTTCTGTATTGAATCGGATCAATTCAACGAGTCCAAATTCCCTAGCAAACTCGTTCAAAAACTCGAGCACCTCTTCATGCCCGGGAAAAGTCCTCAGTTCCCCATTTTTCTTAATTTCAAACGGATAATCTGAAAAATTCATAAGTTGTCTGGGCAAATTAGTGCGGAGTGAAGAGTAAAGACTTCCATGAACAACTTCTCTGTTGGGATCAAGGCCGAGTGGATCGGACTCGATTCTGGGATCGTAAACCCATGTTCCACCAAGCTTGTCTGATTTTTCGTAGACAACAACCTGGTGGCCTTCTCTTTTAAGCTCGCGGGCGGCAGCAAGCCCGGCGACGCCTGCTCCGATCACCGCTACCTTAAAAGATTTTTCCATTGTAAATTTGACCTGGATTTGTTTGGTGGCACTTGTATTTTATTATTGTTTGCTAGGATGATGGTTGAATTTAATGAGTTGAAATATGTTATCCTGAACTTGGTTGTACTCCGTGTATTTTTGACGGATCACATTTTACATCTTACTAATAAACTAGTTTTTTACACGTGCGTTACACGAGTTTTATATTTATTATATTTTTATTAGCTTCAAAATTGTAGATTTTTCTACTTATAAGTAACTTCTTACATTT